CATACTGGCTTGCTGTTAAGGAACTCAAACTAAAGTTACCATAGTACGGGTATGTAGTAAATAATTGGGTTTCCCTGTTATCGTAACTTGATTTACTGTCAGTTCCTTAGCAGCTACTCAGGATGTGGGGGCAGTAGGGTAATCCATGAGTCCATGAGATACATTCCGGGAGAAAGGATCGCTCAACAAAGGGCCAATCTAAGGATCTTGCAGACAAGGATCAACATTCTGAGCGTAGGGGGTTTAAGGTTTTAGGTTTCGGGTGTGGGGTTTTGCGGTTGAGGGGTTTAGGGGCCCAAGTATCGGGTACATGGACCCCTCAGGCCTTAGTTGCTGCACCCTGTCAGCACAGGATATGGGGACATGCAGGCAGGGCTGTATCTCCAATCCCCATATCCAGAACCCTGAAATGAAGCCCTCATCCCCGAAAAGCCTGGCACTGAAAGCCTTGAATCCTGTAAACCCAGAAAGTTCAGGGTTTAGGGTTATAAGCCTTAAACCCTGAATCCAAACACGAAGCCCTAAAACCCCAAGTCCTAGACCTCAAACCCCATAAGTTCCTCGAACCCTAAACGCTTTAAGCCCTAAACCTTAAAAACCTAACCCGAAGCCCCCCACCCTCAACTGCACCGGTGTCCTGGGAGCTGGCAAAGCTGGGCAGAGAGATGGAAGCCAAGTTGCAAACTGCTACCTACGGTTTAGGATTCAGGGTTCAGTAATATAGGTTATTAATGGAGGAGAAAATGGAAACTACTACCATAAGGTTTAGGGTTTAGGGTTTAGGGATTTAGGGTTAAGGGGTTTAGGGTTAGGGCTTGGGAGTTTAGGGTTTTGGATTTAGGCGGCGGGTTTAGGGTAAAGGTTTATGGATTGGCGTTTGTAGCTTAGGAGCTTCGAATTTAGGGTGTAGGGCTTTAGGCTTTCTCCAGGTTTTGCGACCAGGGCCCAGGGTTCAGGATTTAAAGTAGGGTGTCTGAAATCGGTCTTTTGACTGAATTCGTGCGGATCTCGGACACCTGCTGTTGCAGGGATTTTTTTTGGGCGGTGCATCTAGGGCTGGAACTTGTGCAAAGTCAGCCTTTCATTGAGCTTTTGAAGGATACCCTAAAGCCCTAAACCTGAAACCCTTCTTGCATGGCAGTGAGCCAGCACTACCCCGGGTGGTACAAGGCCAGTACTGATCCGAGTAGCTCCACGTTAATTCAACAGATTGCCCCCCACCGCGCAAATTCAGGGGCTCCCATGTTTAGGGGCTAGGGTTCAGGGCTTATCTCCTCTTTGGTTTCTTATGTTCCTGTTGTGGTACAGACCCTAGGCCCAAGCATAATTTGAGCTCGTGCAAAAGAAGTAAGCTTGTAGAAGTTACGTAACAGAGCTGGGCATACTCCAAGAAACATGTAGCAGAACAAGCATGACAAGGCCCGGAAACAATCCCACATCTACACCACTTTCAAGTAACCTCGTCCGCGGAGGTGTACTCAATGATCTCTGTGCAGAGATTCCTTGGTCATTGGTACTCTTCTTGCGGGGCTTTTTGATCTCGAAGATTATTCTGGCCAGGATTCCTAAACCCTAGACCTTTTTACGAACCCGTTGAAGCTTGGTGCCAGTTGCTGTGAAGAATCTTACTTCTTCCTTGCAGACAAAATGCGAGGCTCCAGAAATCGGAAGCATGTATGCTTTAGGGTTCAGGGTTTAGGGTGTATGCATGCATGCATGCATGCATGCATGCATGTACGTGTGTAGTTACATGTGCATACATACATAAACACGTGTGTATGTATATACACACATCTAGAGTATTATATTTACGTACGTACACATACAAAGTTGCAACCAAGCAGTTGCACATGCATGCAGGATTCCGTATGTGTTAATACCAACCGTACTTTCCATATATGGGGAGGAGCCCCCAAGCATAGGTATCCTTATGGTAAAATAGTTACCGTAAACCCTATGGACATCCCCAAATGTATTGGTCTTCGAGGCACCAGGCCGAATGTGAGGTTGGTGTTAACAAGGGGATCTGGGTACCTCCCCGAAATGTTCAGATAGGAGTTCTCAAAAGGTTCCAGAGGGATTTAATTAATTGGGGGTTATACGGGAACTATGATAGGTAACAAGGGGCTTTGGCCAACCACAACCCCAACACAGAGGACCCTATGGCCTATGGCTATCTTGTGTAACGTCCTAAATTTCCGGGGTTGGAGTTGCCGAAATCCTCCCTCTTACTGGGTCAGCGTTTCTTGAGCCCGAGAGTGTAGAGTGCCGCTGCGCTGTGTCGTTACTGCTTTCAATGTTGTCGTCCCCTTAGACCTATCATAAACATGTGTTTAATGCTTCCTTAGGATTATAACAATTCCTAAAGAGACTAAGCAGTTTCTGCGCCTTGCGGGTTATAATCTGTTAGATCCCAGGACACTACACTAAGTGTGCTGGTTGGGGGCCCTAAACCCTAAACCCCAAGGGGCTTGGCATTTTTTGCCTTGACTTCCTTCTTGAGGGCTCATGTATAGAAGCCTGCGCTCGTTTCAGGGGGGGTTGGGGGGAATACAGGAATTGTTTAGGAAATAGACTATATTGGGACTATATAGTTTGGGATTTAAGACAGGCATTGCTATCATGTCAGTCCAGACGTACGCCAACCCGCACAGAACTTACCCATACCCCCCGCACCCCCGATGAAGACAGTTTTGCTTGGGAAAATAAGCCTGGGTTCGAGCAGTGGATCGTGCCCAAGTTCTGCTGGTTGGACTTGCGGTTGGCGTGGTCCTACAAGAGCGCTATAACCCCAACCCTGAACACTAAACCCCAAATGGTAGTTTCCGTTTCTTTTCCATTCTCCCGATATAACCCTAACATTACCCCAATGGGTACTTCAGCTGTAGAGCCTCTAAACGCCCTACTCTTACGATCCGAGTACGAGTACCTACCTAAAAAGGATGAAACTTGGGTCCAAATCACTTCCTACATCCTAAGGGTCCAAGTACCTAATAATCATATACCTACCCAAAACCTGTACTATAAGTACTATTACCCAAAACCCAAGTACCTAATTATTGGGCACGTGGACCCTCTGGGAGATGGGTGTGCAGGGTCCAAACTCTTTGCGGTTGACCGCTAGGGCTGACCTTGGCTGACATTTTAGGTGGTTGTCAAAATTAGGGTCCCTTTTTGTGTACCCTAAATATTAGGTGCCGTATTATAATAAGGACCCAAAAAGGGACCATCTTTTTGACAACCATCCATTTTAGATCCTCGGAAAGGCGTTCCAAAATTTGGGAGCCTGTCTTGGGAAACCCCCCATAATTGAGCCGTAAGAAGTAGCGACGTCTGTATCAAGGCCGCGTATTGACGGAAACTACCATGTGAAGATTTGGAGGGGTTCTTATGCCTCCTACTGCTCATGGACGAAACCGCCTAAACCCTAAACCCTCACCAAGATCCTACGCTTTGATCTGCTCTTAATACAAGATATCCGCCATCAACAGCCCTAAGCCTAACTCTCTAAAGGCTGAGTAGCTTAGCTTCATTGCGCATGAAACTTTGTTTTGTAAGTTCTACCTACGGGGCACTGGCCTGGTTCATAGTGCAGGTTTATTGACAATCTAGGGGCTAGGTTAATGCTTTCGATTCATAGAGTCTGACGTGTGGGGTCCATGGTCTACAGTGCCGCTGTGCGTCTGGTTGGCCAGAGATTGCCAGAGATTGCTGAGGAAGTTTCTATGTATGTGTGCATGTATATATATATATACGGTAGGTTGCCATAATTCAAAAAAGGCTCCTGTCGTGTGACGTCTAGGCAATACTTCTGTTCAGGGATTCGGGTTCAGGCTTTTGGGAATACAGTTTAGGGGAAGAGGTTTCTCAAGAAGGGTGACCCGCAGGGACCCAGGAGAAACACAATCACTTGAGGCATAAAGGCTAGGTTCCCTACGAACCCGTAATAATTAGGATCACCTTTTTCCCTATGTTCCGCTTTGATAAGGAGACCCTAAAATAAAATGGGAAAAAGACTACTGCTGTGGTGCTAGACGGCGTCGCACATGCTAACATGCCTATCACCTTGAAGGGCGACTTGAGCAGGGCAAAAAGGATGTGCCAAGGTGCAGAGCATTTTACGATTCAGGCCTGCTTTCATTAAGCCTTAAACTGTCACTACAGAATCCCCCCCAACCTCTTTGCCATCCCTATTAATATCCCTTTTGGGGCCAACAAGGCGTTTATTTTGGGACACCACCGCTTCAAGAAAAAAGGCCCATGCAGCGGACCCGTGGAACGCTGGTAGCCTCTGAGGCTGTGGGTGGGGAGGCTTAGTATGCATACTGCATACTAAAAAGGTCTGGACAGCCAGGCACTCACCATTCACGGCCAGCTATCCTCTGTCATTACTGACCTGCTTCTGAAAATTTGCGAAATCTCCCTTACGGTATTTAGGGTGTAGAGTTTAGCGTCACCCGCAAGGCAGGGCGTTTAGGGCTTAGGGTTAGGGTTACCCCCAAGGTAGAGTGCAAAAGGTCCGAACCCACAAACACCCTTTGACAATCCTCTGCTTGCCCCGAACTTTACCTCAGGAAGGAGCCCAGCACGCTCCCACCTGAATTCCTGCCATCTCGCATATTTCCATCTGTATCCCTCTCTTTCCCTCTCTCTCCCTCTCTCCCTCTTCCCTCTCTCTCTCTCTCTCTCTCTCTCTACACGAACAGGGCAGGCGTGGATCATGGGGGGTGACCATATATATATATGTATACATATAGCGTACTGCATGGCAACGTCGCTGATAACTAATTGGTGAGTAGGCGGAAGATGGCGAGTGAATCCTTCAAGAGATCCTTGTACAATCCTCATGGGTTTAGGGTTCAGGGTAAGGGTAAAAGGATACATACGTAACTAAGCACATACATAGATGCATACATGCATAATGGATATAGTGTATCCCTTCGAACAGTACCTATAGATTCACTTTCTCACCCTAAACCCTAAACCCCAGCAGGATGAGCCTGTCCTTGTAGAGCATGTAAGGTGTTCCGGTCTCCATCTGGGACTCCAGGATTCGGAACCACAAATGCTGAGCCTCACGCAGCATCTACGTGATAGGTCGTAAAGTGCTTGTGCTTCGGGGTGTCAGGGTTATAGAGTTCTGGCTTGGGCTGAAGGGCGGGTGTGCAGAACTGCGCAGCTTGGATAATTCCTTTTGAATACTATGGATCTGAGAACCCAATGCTACTTAAGCCCCTGACACGTGGCTGCAATCAGCAGTTCCAAAATGGAGGTCCTACGTGACTGCTATGCATCTTAAATCAGGTGGGAAAATTGCTGTTTGGAATCCAAATTTCGCTGGTTCTGCATGAATGCTGGGCCCGCTGTGGTCCTCTGAAGACTATACCTTCTGGAGACGACTCGGCTCAGGTAACTCTGACTTTTTTTGCACGGAATCTAGTTCGCAAGCCCTATGCACTTTGGAAACAGCAAACACAAAGGCGCACAAGTGAAACCTACGCCCCCGAAGTAGGTAAAACACTTGCTCAAACCCTTCAAAAGGCTCCACATGACTTTGGGGGTTCCTTAAATAGCACGTTGCATTTGTAACAGCATCAGTCGCAGCAGCTGGAGGAAGAGTAGGAGGAGCACAGCAGAGATGAGTGTTAGCTTCAATCTGCGCTTCAAACCGTCCAGCCATAATTACAACCCAACATAATGGGCTCCAAATAGCCCAAGATATGTCTCCTTCACCAATTTTGGTGTTGAAAATCGAGTTAGACTCTCGAGGTGACCTCCCCTGCCTTCATCGTCTTCCGGCCCTTACCCTCTTTCTCGAGGCGCGTGTACATGGCTTCGAACTCCTCGCCCCAAACATCCATCAGGCCCTTGCCGGTGGACTTGTCAAAGGCCTGACCATTGAAGTTGTCAAGAAGAGCTGTAGTTCACCCCTCCTCCTCCTCCTCCTACTCCTACTACTACGACGACTACTGACGACTACTACTACTACTACTGCTGCTGCTACTACTACTACTACGACGACTACTACGACTACGATGACGGCTACTACGACGACTACGACTACGACATCGACCACTACCACCACCACCGCCGCCGCCGCCGCTGCTATGCAAAACTTACCCATTTGTGTCAGACAGCCAGCCTCGTTTGGGCAGAAGAGGGTCCAGTCTTGGTTGTCCTCAGGATCTGGGAGGTGCAACAAATTAGCAAAAACTGGGGGGCTCCAATCTAACCCAATGGAAGCCTTTAGGCCGTTTCCGGGCCCCTTAAGAACCCCCCTAAAAACAGGATAGGAGCGTACCAGCAAGAGGGGACCCGAAGGGTCCTATACAAGCCCGACCCCACGTAGACTCATCGTAAACCCTACACGCTGAACAGTAATTTCCATGTGGCTTTCGCTTCCATATGCAAGCCCTACAAGTCCTAAAGCCCTAACGGACGCCCTGGGTGAGACCCGCAACCCTGCAAGACACCAAGCGGACAACCCCAACCCCAAGGCCAGCTTTACAGCTTATCTTAGCCTGTAGGCTCCAGGGTGTAGGCTTTGGGTTGGGTTTATATAACTAGACTGCCATGCAATTATCAATGCTTTGTTGGGGGTTCCCCACTATGACCAAGAAAACGTATCTGTCCTGCCAGATTGTCGAACAAAACCTGTTGGACCCTTCCGTCCTAAAGGCTCCAGTCATCAACGGAGCATTCGCTTAGGTCCCAACGTACCTGTACAGCAGCACGCAATTCGAGCCCCAAGTATATACTACCTATACCCCTGTCTACCGCTACATAATCCGCCGATGAACCCTGAACGCTAAGCATATCTACCCTAAACCCTGAGCCCTGCGCCCCTGATATACTTTATGGCAACCTAGAACTTTTGGGTCCCAAGCATATGCGGTGTAACCCTAAACCCTAAACTCTAAACAGTGAACCCTAAACTCTAAACCCTGAATCCTGAAACCCTAAACCCTAAGTACCTGGACCATTTGAGCTATAGTCTAAACTCCTAGTATCCCCCTTAGTAAGCCCCATAGTAGTCCCCTATATAATCCACTCTATAACCCCCCTTTAAGGAGTTTAGACTATTGACCATTTGGGTGTGTGTCCTTCACACGCTTCATGAAGAGATCCGGGATCCAAAGACCATAGAACAGGTCCCTGGCGCGCTGTTCCTCCTTCCCGTGATTCCTCAGTTTAGGGGTTATAGGGTTATAGGGTTTAGGGTTTAGGGTCATAATAGGGTTATAGGGTTATAGGGTTTAGGCTTTGGTTTGCGTGCTGCGCTTGAAGGCTTAGGGGCTAAATACTAGCTCTATAGGGAGCAAGATCAACAATAAACACAAAATACATGAGGAATACGAACCTAACCCTAAACCCCAAACCCTCAACTCTAAAATCTGTGTAATCCCTTAACCCCTGAACCCTAAACCCTAAACCCCTAAACCCTACCAAAAGCTTAAAAGGAAGTCCCTGACCCAGGCACTTCCTGAGCTCCAGGAAGTCGAGGACGTCCGCATGCCAAGGCTCCAGGTACATGGCAAAGGAGCCCTTCCTTGGCTTGCAGGGTTTAGGGTTTAGGGTTTGGGGTTTAGGGTTTGGGGTCTAGGGGTTAGGGCTTAAAGTTTAGGGCTTAGGATTATAGGGTTTAGGGTTAGGGTTTAGAACTTTTTAGGGCTCAGGGCTTGGGGTTTAGGGTTTAAGGTCTGCCTGGGCTCCCGCAGTAGGTAAAAGAACATCCCCAAAACACTTATAACACGACAGCCAACATGGCAATCGTTCTACCTACTTTTGCGGGTTCAGGCAAGGCTTGGGTTTGGGGGTTGAGGCTTTGGGGTGTAGAGTTTGAGGCCCTCCGCACAGTTTCAAATGATGTTAAGAACAGGTAGGTCTTCTTTATAGGTCCCCAAGATTCGTAACTACAGCATGTGAAAAGTTTAACAAAGCACGGATTTTGTGTTCCTCACAGCCTTAGCCCAAAGTAACCAAACAGCCAAAAGAACGCAATACATTTATAAAGGTAAGATTTGGGGATCTCCCAAAGTCCTGCCCCCAGGCGTGTAATTGTGCCATACTTAGACCAGCTTTGATCCGCTGATTAGTGGAAAACTCCAGGGGCGTCTGCAAGAGTAGCCGGAGGCGTCTTCCGTCCCTGATCTAGCTTCAATGTTCAAACCACATTCGGACATCATGTACATACCCCGCAAATATCTGGAGAACAGCCATACAAGGCCTGCAAAGAAGACCTGCATTCCCTGTTTCTATGTCATTTTCCATTTCCATTTGATTCTCCAGTAATACCCCCCCATACAACCCACATATAACATATATACAACCTGGCGATAAGCCACCCCCAAACCCTAATCCCTAAACCATCCCAGCACTGCGTACTCGAGCAGGTCTTCGAGCTATGTTGCGTTCTTCGTGCCGGATATTCGGACTTGATGTTATTCGGGGTTTAGGGTTTGTGGTTTAAAGTTATTAGTGATAATACTAACAAAACAATGATAACAGGCAAAAAGTCAATTAATAGTGATAGTAGGAGTGCCTAAAACCCCGTGATTTGGGTACTTGGACCCTCAGCACGTAGGCTTCCACATTAGCGAAATGCCAACTGGCTTCCTCTTGCCGCCTCCCTGGTCAACGTAGCGGGCAGTCTCGTTGAAGTTCCTGCGACATGTCTTACGTCTGAGCCCCGCAAGTTTTGGGGCCCTTCTACCCACACCCCGGAGCCCCACCCTAAACCCTAAACCCTAAACCCTAAACCCTGAACCCTAAACCCTAAACCCTGAACCTTAAACCATGGGATCTATGGCTCTCACTTCAAGAGCTTTGGATCCGGCACTTTGGCATGAGGCTGGTGGGTTGAAGCTTCAGAAGCTGCACCATTAAAATTGCACAGGGTTTAGGGTTTAGGGTACCCTAAACTCTAAACCTAACCTCGATAATATGGGGACTTTGGGTTACCCCAACACCCATAACAAGGACCCTATGATAGTCGGAGGTCCCCAGGGGACATATGTCTATGTGATGTAGGGTTTAGGGTATATACTTGAGACATGCTTCAGATCCCCGTATAATCCCTACATAAACCCTACATGTCCATTTGAAGGGGCCCACATACATATTGCAACCCCTGGGGTGCCCCAGGGCGTAAGGGCTTGAAGACTTTTCGCTCAGTCTGAAAAATCTGATGGTCGCAACCCTTTAAGTAAGAAGCCCGTCCGCGTTTCAATATAATTAGAATCTAGGGGTTACAGACAGACTGACAGACAGAAGATAATCACACATATAGGGGGAGAGGGAAAGACAGGAAGGGAGAAAGGAGGAAAGAAGAGTCACGTTACGGAGAGGCTGATGCTGTAAGAACTGGAAAGTTGTGGAGACGTCCCTATGGTAAGGAGAGTCATGCTCTGAATAAGACTTGATTACTGCATGATCCTCAGCGGCCCAAATGCAAGATCCACCACCAGCACCTCCTGAATACTCAGCTCCAAACCCTAAACCCCCTAAACCCTAAACCCTAAACCCGAAAACCCTAAACCCTAAACCCTCTTCAACTCAAAAAGTCTCAACCTCTCACGGCTTGGTTACATATCCCCTGTAGGAGTACTTAAGGAAGATCCAAGAGGCCCCCCCTTGAGGTGCCTCTTCCAGCATATGTGACTATTGGAACGCGATGATGAATTACCTACCTGGCACTTAGGACCCCTACTACCTACTCCTCAGGTACCTATAATAAGAGTATAGGAGTATAAGGGAATCTCAAAAAGTTAAGGATCTAAGGTCCAAGCTAAGTCCAAAGGAATGTCTGGATCGAAGTTTTGCCTTTTTGTGTTGTTAGGGCAGTCAGAAGATGACTTGGATACCCTCAAACAAGAGCTATTGTGGTATTTGGGCCCTAAAGCCATATTATTGGGGTTCTTGGACCCTTAGGGTTACAAAGGCTATACAATGGCTCGGACGGGATCCTTTCTTTGACGTAGCCTAGAACGCGACCAGCCCCTCACGTGGCCGCCCTAAGCCAAAAAGCCCCGGGAGCCTCAGCATTGGGACCAGGCCGTTGCTGTGTCCGTTGGTGCCACCTCAGTTGTCTTGTATATGGGGGTTTCCCAAAATTAGCGTTCCCTTTAAAGGGGGTTCTAGGTATAGGGATTAGGGTTTAGGGTTTCCCAATCTAAGGGCACCATTTGTGGGGTCCCAATAATTAGGATTATAACTTAAATGCACTTTGGTAGTATATACTGGGGTCCCTCTGTTCATGGAAACTACCATATGAGCTTTAGAGCGGCCTTTCGAAGATTAAGGAAACTACCACATGAGATATTCTGAAAATGATGGACCCCCGTTGGGTATGAAATATATTACGGCACCGAATATTTGGGGGTACCAAAATAGGACCTTAGCCCCCCGCCACCCCCTAAACGCTAACTCTCAACCCTAAACCACCTGCTTTTTTCCAAGGCTAACCATTCGACAGGCAAGCCGCGGATGTAGGAACCGCTTGCCCGAACGTTGGAGATCGCCACTCCTTGGCACTTCCGGTTTTAGGGTTTAGGACGTCAGGTTTAGGGTTTAGGGCGGATACTTACATGGGATTAGCAGGGAATATGGGCAGATGTCTATGGGGATTATAGATATACTCGTGTATTCCCTTATTCCCTACTAGCCCACAGTAAGTAAGGGTTCGGACTGAAAGGTGCGAGGGTTTGATGGCCTAGGATTAGTGTGGGGGATGAGGTGCTTAGGGATTTGAAGGCCCAGCCGCCGGGTGGAGGCTTATGGAGACCAAGGGGTCTATGTAGAGTTTAGGGTTTAGGGCTTGGTTGAGGGTTCAGGGTTCGATGTTTCGGGTTTAGGGGGCTTAGGGTTTAGGGGGCATCTGCGCCACATTGTCCGAAGTTATTCCCGCCCAACCAAGAACTGGCAGGGGCCAGTGAAGTAGGAAAAAGAACAGAAGTACATTACTTTCCTACTTGTGGTAGGTAGGGAGTAAGGGAATATATATAATCCTTATGTAATATATTCCCTTATTCCCTACTAACTGCTTGATGCCCCACGGTTAATACACATCTTGCATGACCCCATGCAGGTGCCTTATACCCCCGGAAAGGGAGGATATGCAGCATCCCTAGAAACTCACCCTAGACCGAAAGATTAATTAGTTTCCACCGAAATATGGTAGTTTCCCTAAATACTGAGGACCCCAATATAGACCCCAACATACCATAATCCGTGTATATACTTGGAACCCCCAAAAGGGCACTTATTATTATTACTATTATTATGGGGAATCCCCATGTTATTGCTTCATGAGGCTAAGGGGTCTAGGCCACTTGATGTACTCAGTTCGGATCAGGCCACCCGGCTTAGCTTTAGGGTTTAGGGGTTTAGGGGCCTAGGGCATTCGGCTATCCGGCGTTGACACCTCAAGCAACAGTGTGCCATTTCAGAGCCCCATTGACAACTCTCCGCAGTCAGACCGTTGCCCTGAATCCGGAAACCCCCCGCACCTGTTCGCTTACTCCCAGAAGGGGGTCTGCATAGACTAGTGTCCTTTGGAAAGGAGGCTACATGAGCTTCATGGCAATCTTGGGGGAGGGTGACAGCACCTGCAAGCAAGGCTCCAATGCCGCCTGCAGATTTCGAGATGAGTGCGCACTGCTTCCTGGGATGGGCCGGATACTCAACATGGGGAAGAGGGGCATTGCCGCTCCCGACTATGCGGTCTACAGTCCGCTGCGTAGGGCTGCCATCGAAAAGATGGGGTCATGATCTTGAGAACTCTTGCTATACCATGTCTACTTGTAGCAATTGCCTCTTGTAGCACTGCTCTCCATGTCGTAGCGAACTCTGTGTATGGCGTGGGGCCCGGACAACCCCTGCTAAGAAGATTTTTACACCTAAGGCGGTTCAGAAAGCACCTGGAAAGTATTGCAACTTATGCCGAAAATGAACCAGTCAAAAGCGCAGTCCATTGAACATGTTAAAATGGGAATCATACTTCTGGTTGTGCCGTCTTCTACGTTGCATTGCTTCCCTACACCAGAAGAGCCGGGCGGCAAAGTGTCGTAGATCCCCTCGATGCTGTCACCCTGCATCCTGATTGAGTCTCCAAGGTGCGCAGTTCTCAGACCACTAGGCCCTCAAAAGAGGGTTGAGGGTTTAGAGTTTGGTTTGGGGTGTAGGGTTTGGGGTTTAGGGTTTAGGGTTTGGGGTTTAGGGTTGAGGGTTTGGGGTTTGGGCTTTAGGGTTTGGGGTTTAGGCTTCAGGGTTCGGGGTTTAGGTTTAGGGTTTGGGGCTTAGGGTACCCCAAGGAAACCCAAGAAACCTCAACCCAGAGCCCCGAACCCTTGACGCCCAACTCTACGCCCTACGAACCCTAAGACCCTAAACACCCTCAATAACCTAAACCTCAAACCCCCTGAACTCCCCAAACCCTACCCCCCCCCATACTGCGCCTCAATACATGTAGGGGGCTCTAAGTCTACAAATAATGACCTACATCGGGTCCTAAAGCCTAAACAGGTTACCTACAT